TATTTCATTTGTCATTAATATTAATTGCACACTTCAAATTTTCAACAATGAAACTAACTCTTTTAATTGTGCTCTTTACAACAATCTTCTCCAGCGTCTTTGTTGGTGCAATGAGCATCAATGGTGGAAATGGACTCTTCAAAAGAAGACCGAGTATGTGTCTTAATCTATTCTAAAAACATGCACAAATGATTTTCTTGCAAAACCCTCTTTTAAATTTTTATGTAAATTCATATCTTGATATTTATTAACTATGTGTGCACATTTATCAGATGATGCTTGTAATGATGATGCTGATTGTACTGATGGAGAAGTATGTGGCGATAATAAATTGTGCCTTATTAACCAAGGAGGGCCTTGCGTAGGTGCCAATTTTGACCCTGATTGTATAACTTTAATTTGTCGTATTGCTGGTTCTGATATGTTCAAATGCCAACTCACTGATGATCATCCTGCTGGAGGCTCTTGTTTTGTAGATAAAGCATGCAAAAGTGGGAAATGCATTAATAACTTCTGCGACTAGATACATTATTAATTTTATGATTATGCATCTTAGATATAAGCTATTGATTAGTATTTAGATTTATTCCATTATTAAAATTATTTCATTTTGCATTTTTGATTATTATTAGTTAAACTAGAGTGACGACAATTTGTAATGCATTACAACCACCGCTACCATTCTTTTTAAATAAATAACACTTGTTTCTTTTTTAAGAACATAATTTTTTTAAAAAAATCTGGTTTCATCCTTGTTCTTTTTTTCTCTGTATTGTTTAAAATTTTCCTTTTCATTGAAAAATAATTTCATGTTTTTCCTTGAAAGATTGTGATATTGATTTTATTTTAATAATAATGTATTAGATAAATAAAAATGGTCAAAAAATCCTCACTTCAGCATAAAAAAAGAATCAATATTGTTGTTGTTGTTGTTGTTAATATTAACGGATTAATGTATTCTTAATTGTAATAAATATATATTGATATTATCGTTAACGGGTTAACACCCAAGTTCTATAAGCTAACCGTTAATCTGTTAACGACCCGTTATTAATGTTAACTCGATAATCCGCTAGTTATATGTTAGAACATCAAGCAATGAGTGATTGCAAGACATCTGGATCAAATTATTGTAAAAGATCGGTTAAAAAAAAGGAGTTTGATTTATTAAAATATTCTTGTTGGTTTTAAATAATCTTAATTAGAATTAGAAATACATCTATAAAAAAGCATATAATCTTTCATTATTCATCATCATCTGATATATTCATTTTGCTAATAGGATCCAATAAATCCATAGAATATAAACTATAATCAATGATGTAAGAATCTATCAATAATTTTTCAATTCTTTGAAAATGTCTTTCAGAATATGGCAATAATCCATCTATCAACTATATAAGATAAAAAAAATTATATATTTATATATATAAAATAAAAAATTATATATGTTTATATATATATATATATATAATATCTGTTATAAAAATTAGTACCTCTTTGATTCCATCAATTTCTAATAATTGGTTGGAATTGAAATTCCTTAATAGAACATTTAAAATTGTTTGAGAAACCTGAAAATTTTTTGAATTGGTATTCCAATCTCTTATATACAGTGTGTTTCAAAAAAAACCGGAAAAATTAAATCAATCATTGTGGAACAACCACTGCATTGATTTGTATGAA